TTTCCTATATCAGGGTACCCGAGCCGTCCAGAAGACGCCCTGGAGACATACTATAATATGTCGTATAGGTCCCATTGGAACAACCAAATGGACCCCTTCTGAAACCTTCCTTGACAAGGTCGAAGAATCAGAGATTCCACTCTCTACCCAATTGAACGTTAAGCAGTTCAAAGGCAACACAGGACTTGAAGTCTGTGCACAAGAAATACAATCTACTACTGACACTACTGTTAAGAAGCGTCAATCTCTAGCTAGGACTCTGTTTAATAACATAAAGTCCAAGCCAGAGGTCTTTCATACCCTATTACTAAATGGATTAATGAAAGACAATCGTGAGGCGTATACGCATATAATGCGACTATTTAATAAGTCAGGTGTATCTAACGCACATGAGCGCACTTATGACACTCATGCAAAAGCGGGACAGGAGTCTGGAAACACTACAGACTTAGAGACCACGCAAGTGGATTCTCTACTTTCTACCTTTATTTTGGAGGGGCAATATGATAAAAATATTCTTGCTTGGCTGACGCAAAATCATAAGCTGAGGCACCAGAACGTAGTAGACGCACTTAAAGATACTAAGCGAAATGGGATCGCGCACCTTAAGCTGGCAACTTTTGTTGACAGAGTATATCAGTCATGTACAGACTGTGATCTCAATCAGATCAAGCGCTATGGGTTCGCACCGCTTAAGAGTGTGACTGAAGATGTTCCATGGCGCAGGGTCATCATTGATCTGGTTGACCTGCCCACGTCCGAGCACACAGGCGACCGTCACGTATGCCACTTCTTTGATGTGACGTCACGGTTTAACTTGCTCTATTCATTAAAGGATAAGAATACGCAGACCGTGGCAGAATTATGTTGCCAAGTCTTTGCTGACCACGGGTGGTCAGGTATTATGTGCACTGATAACGGTAGTGAGTTCTGCGATAACGTAATATAAGATTCGGTCTAATAAAGGCGATACTAATGCCTTAGAATAAATAAACGCGTAGGTAAATTCTAAGTATCGTGTAAATATCAAAGTAAATAACCGAAATGAGACTTTTAGTTAAGTTAGGTATGCCTCGTGAAAACAGTAATACTCTGTGGGATTGTGAGACATTTATATCTGAATACTTAAACGTTACCTAGTTGATTCTCCGATCAGCCAACCAGATGTGCTAGTCGGATGAAGGCTAAGTTTTAGATAATGGCAAGTTATTGGTTAAGACAATAACTAAGGACATCAAGAGTATTTTTCTTTTATTGTTTATTTTTTTCTAACGATAGGATTTTATGCGTCTCTCGGATTCGCCTCAGTGAAACATACCATAGTTTCTAATAGAGCGACAACGAAACACTAAATAAAATCCCTTCGGCGGAAACAGTACTGAGAGGATTATATATAGGCAATGTCTCATCCTCATAATCCTATTATCGCTATGTCAGGTACCGATCCCCTTGCCTCAAACTCATCTGGTGCTACTATGCTCGTCAGTGCACTTCTTGAGTAGTCAGTTTTCAGCTGATCATCCCTACTAGTTTGACCATTGGCAGTGAACATACACTCTAAAATCAAAGTGGATGGATCAGCACGATCGTCGAGCCTTTCAATCAGATGGACGGTTAAACCTGCAAGCGCACACAAATAAGGATCCATGCTGCCTAGTACTACCTGCCTTGATACTTGCTTTTTATTGTTTACATTTTTGCTCCGCACGACCTCTATATATAAGCATTTTTGATATATTTCTATATATTTCAAATCCCCGTACTTTAAATTACACGCATCATCGACCCTGCCCACAAGTTGAAACGTCCACGGCCACAATTCGTGTACAGTTGAATTCCAGAAGCTGGCATGTTCAAGATTGATTTTCAATATGCTCATATACTCATTATACTCAAGTGGTCTCTTCTCTGATCTTGGCTTACCTTCGCCACGAAGCTCCCAAGGTGCAACTTGTTTGATCATATTGTTCAGCGCCAGTGATATAGTTGGGTTACCCTTCTCATCTACTAAGTCCCACTCATTATTTCGTCGCATGTACCATGATATCGCCTTCTTATCGAAGAGAATACCGTTAGCCCTTTTCAAAGTAGGCCTATCGTCTGGTCCAGGAATCTGGATACCATATGCAAGTTCATTGAAATATCGACAGAGATCGTCTGACTGAATAGCCAAAAGTATTTCTCTCAAGTTGTCATTATTTGCTTTCAAATTAGTATGTTGATCAAAGTCGTAGTTAGGTCTAAACCAATTTAAGAATTTACGAGTGATTGTGTTGTACACTACCAGATTCTCTGGAATAGGCATGGTTATAGTATGCTTTATATTGTAGTTTTGTGGGGTTTTGTGCGTATATATCTATATTTTGAGTTTTGTTTTGCGTGTTCAAATTTGAAAATGTACGACCCTGTAGGTAGTGCAAATTCCGCGGGCGGGCCGACCAATAATATTATGGGTCGATTTTACGATATCCAATTGATTCACGTTCTCAGTGCGGAAGGCACAAGGGTCAAACAAAGTCGTAAAAAACGTGTAAAGTACGATCCTGTGTTTGACCAATTTTCACGAAACTAGTTTATATAACTGCTATATTATGGAGAATACTGTAGTTTTGGGATGGTAAAAGTTGCAATAGAGTTATCAGTGGATGCTGAGGACCAATGGGAAGTATTGGTAATGATCCAGGACCAATAGGCTGCACGGGCGGTATGATATATTGTTAAAGAGTCTGTCCTTGGTCGTACGACCGAAACAATACATTAATACACCTATATTTAAGCAAATTAAACTAAAAAAAGTAAAACTATGAGACTGGTAGGAACTGGGCCTGAGGTGGTTAATAATTTTATTGTCACTAGGCCATATACAGACATTCATTAGAGCCTCGATCTAATAAAAAAATACTTCTATTTTTATTTCTATTTTAAAAATCAGACATTTACTACATGCCATAGTAAATAATATTTTATGCCATCCGACGGACTCGTCCATTCTGAGTTTCTGACATTCTCTCCCTCTAAAATATCTATTTATTTTATTACTTCAGACTTCAGATAGAGACTCGTGTAAATTGTACGTACAGATCTTACATTTTTATATTTATTTTGAAGAAAAAAAATCTCAACCTAATTTTAAAGTCGATATATATTTCTGTGACATACTAATCAGCTTTTCGTCTCCGCTTACTGCTGTGCAAAAAAAGTAAACAAGAAGTTGCGGATATCGTAAGCCCTCAAAACAAACGTTGCGAGAATATTATGCAGAAGTAATATATGTACGAATGCGCTTGAAAAATAACGCCGAAAAAAAAATACTGAAGTATAGTTAATACAAATAAAGTATCGTTTGAGCTGCTTACCTCGCTTTCGTGGGTTCGGATTTTGCACCAGTCGCTTTCGTTCTCATCTGCATCGCGACCCTTTTACACATTGTCCTGACTGAAGGTGTCAATTCTGCCAAAGTGTTGTTCTTTGCCAAGGTTTCTAAGCATTCAAGTAGGGAATCGGCGAAGACCTGCAAATATGACACAAAAGATATATCAGAACAAAAATACTTGCATACTGGAATACGAAAAATCGGCGACAGAACATGCCAATACAACCAGAAGAAAGAGAGAAAAGAGAACTTACTCCTTTCTGTCCATCAAAGTTCTTGGTTGAGTTATACATATTTGCGGTTGATTTAACACAAGCTTTGATGTGCTTGCCCTTTACCGCCGGAACAGCCTTCTCACTGACGTCTTCGTCAGTACTTGCCGTCACTTCTTTCCCAATTTCAACTTGGATATCAGAGGGTGCCATAACAGTAAGTGTTGACTCTATGTAGGGCTGAAAGAGCTTAGGTACAGCACGCGTGCTTGAATCTTGGTGGTGGGATACTGCCACCTTAGTTATACATTCCATAATCTGGAAAGCTTGGGTACGAGGATAATCTCGCTTAACAGAATCCAAGATACTCGCAAGTGCTTGCATCATAGGATCCAACAGAGCCTGATATCTCGTTAGAGGCTCAGTGAAAAATTTCAAATTCAGTTTTGTGTGTTTCTCGGTAAGATAATCAAACAAAGCCCCCCTATACAAGGTTGCTACACGTTCCACATCAAGTGCGCCGATCTGTAAAATGATGAAAAAGCAGGAAATCAGATCAGATCAATTCAACTTTTCCCTCAGCTCTGTCCTGGCTTTGTAATATTTGTCTGTTTTAGGTTCTGAAATACCCTCCATACGTGCTGGTAGTGTAGAGTGGATATGCTAACTGACGTACCCGGCAACACAGAAAACAAAAATTAAACGATCATCAAACTTACGCTAGGGGTTACTGATGTCTCTGTTAGGGCGTTGGCTTGATCAGCAGTACGCTTGAGCGCGGATCTGGTCTTTCGTGGTGATGGTCCGGTCCTGCCACCATTAGCGCCAATGAGGACTCGCAGACACAACAGCACACTTGCTGTAACTAATTGCATGAACCGTCTATCCGCCGACTCTCTGGCAAAAGTAAATAACTGATCCAGCACCTCGTGGGGCAAATTCGAATCCAGAGCAGGGGCACGTGGACATTCTTTCAGCTTACACAGCTTATTGAGTATTACACCCTCCAGTCGCTGTTTGAGTACATTGTTCTCCTTCTGAGGGGGAAGCACACGCACAGCAGTCAATAGCGGCATAATTATGCGCAGAACCAAGGGATTTTGCGACTGCGATCTAATGAATACTTCAATTAGATCCAGCACTCTGAGTTTAAAGTGTGTAATGGCTTGCAAACTCAATCTCTTGTCTTGTTTTTGGTTCTTTTTATCTCTGAAGACCTCGCCAAGCTTGGCGTCGAAAGCGGCCATTTGCTCGTCGTCGTAGTCACTCAACTCAGCTTCATCTCCACTGGCGTCAACATCATGCGCAGCATCACCCAAAACTTCCCTCACATTTTTCTTCAGCTCTTCATCTAATTCCATGTCATCAGCATCTGAGTCACTGTCACTTATTGAGTCACTTTCTGAATCATCTGCAGAGTCATTCTCAACATTGCTAGCATTTGTTACCACCTTCTTTCCCCTGCTGGCACGCTTGGCTGTCGAACTAATTTGCTCTTCCTCGGACTCGCTCTCATCAACTCTCACTTCACCATCCTTCCCTACCATGTCGTTCTCACTATCACTTCCACTCATATCCTCCTCGATATGTTCATCAGCGTTCGCCTGTAAAATATCTCCATTTTCCAGCCCTGGGTTGATTTCCAGCACTTGTAGCAACAGATCGAGACCTTTTGACGTGAGATCCTCACAGTAAACCTTGAATACGTCCACACAGACCACCCTCAAGACACTTGCAGGTTTAGCCAGCAGCGACAGAAGGCAATCAGTCAAAACTTCAACCACAGCTGGACTTCTTTCATCATCATTCTCCTTATTAGGTGTTCGCCCAGTAGATTGTGAGCCAAACTCTTTCTCGACACATTTTGACAAATCCTCGATAACATCAACAGCCTCACCTTCACCACTCATAAGAAGTAGCGAGGAATGCAGCAACAACAACTCCAAGGCTTTAGCATGTTTTTGCTTGCCAGTGGACTTGCGTGTCTCGTGCTTGGCCTCCACTTGTCGCACTTTCTCGAGGGCAGTCTTCGCTAGGGCCATCACGCGACGCTTCTCGGAAATCACTTCTTCGGCGGTATTTTCTTCGTTCACGATAGTCACGCGCTCATCAATCTTGGCAAACTCATACAGTGCCAGCGTTGCCTCATTCAGACGGTGAACCCAGAACTCGCCATCCTTCATCGTACCGATAGTGGATTTATTGTGCCCGGCTGCCGGTTTTCCCTTCTTGTTATCCTTTGCCTGTGTATCCGTACCAAGCTCTGCGAGTACTCCATCCAGATGAGGCCAGCCACTGACCTCACTCATCATCGCGACCAACCGTTTACCACAAGCTTCGTGAGACGCAGGAGAGACAGCTGGGGCAGCAACGCTTGTTTCCAACTCAGGCATGATCTCCAGCAGTTCCAAGAACTTGGACTTTTTGCTTGAGCTTTTTTTGGTGGACGATTCGGATGCCGCGGAAACCACAAAGTGTGTGTGTAGCATGGTAAATCTCACGACACGCATCACCCACTGCTCGGTTCGCGGTAGGCGCCTATTGCGGCATAAGCTCAGCATCTGATTCACCACCCACTCTCGGTACACGTTCACATGGTGCTCCTTCTCGTGATTTCGTCTGTATGCAGCGTGGGCGCCGGTATCATTTTTCTCTTCCAGGGTTGGCGCCTCAGGCGGATTTAAGAAAGACTGCATCAGCAAGTCTAAGTACGCATTGATTCCGTCTGTAGTGAGTCCATTTACGAGCGTATCGACACAGTTCGATCCACTGACTTGATCAAAGTTGCGATGGCCCTGAGGACCCTGTAAAGCAGATACCAACATGACAGCCTTCAAACTATCATAAGCCCCAGCATTCCGCATTGCAGTGATCGTACACATCGCAGCACCATGAAGGTATGCGTCTTCCTTGCTTAGATTGTTAATTAGCAGACGGAGAAGTGTGGGCGTAAGCATGCAAGAGATCCACTGTGTTGGAACAGTCACAATCATCTCGTTGAATAGCTGAAGGCCAACGTATTTGCGATCGTGTGATGTAGACTGTAGTAGGCCTAGATCCACCACAACCTCCCAGAAGGATTCGAACCCGATTTTCTGTTGAGTATGCAAATAAGTAAACTTGAGCCACAGCCTGGTACAACACATGTATATCGCGGGCACCTATAAGTGACATGCACTGGGCGTGACAGAGGCTAAATTTGCTCGCTATATTGTGGCACGAAAATCAATATATTCTCGAATAAGATTCACGAATAGCACACGAGAATGCCTGCAAAAACGAACGCACTAACGAACAGAGAATAGCAGGTCACTTCTACGACATGCATCAATTGCAACAAATATCACTCGACTTTCGGCGGACCGTACCAATATTGTGCAACTAAGAAAGACCCGCATACACACCTTCGTTTCCGAGACAAGTTCATGTGTCAAAAGTTCATCGATGACGATTCTCCATATGAAGTGTATGCCAGATTGCGTGACTTCTGTAGACTGTACTAATATACTTTGCAAGCGACTGAAATTTGATGAATGTAGTAGGTTTGGGCTGGACCATCCTTTGAACAGCGACCCGTAATCTAGCTCGGGATATAAGCGTTGTACAGTGAGCGCGTATGAAAGAGTTTCCACACTCCAAGTATCCTCTGCAAATAGTGGAGCAATGGTGGGCATGATTCTCTCTTCCAGCTGTGAACGTGATTGTGACTGTTCAATGGCAGATACGACAACTAGCGCACAGGCCGGCTTGAGGTATGTCTTCTGGTTCGACAGAGCTGATGTCAAGCCGACAATCGCTTGTACCTCCTGAAAAATGGAACGAATTAAAGTTAAACATTTGGATGCTGCGATTCAAATGCGGTCGTCCGACTTGGCTGAGATAAGTGCACGTACGCGTCAAATACCCCCTCCCCCACCCTCTCAAACACACAAAAGTATTTCGAGCCTCTCATTCTCTTAAGTGCTGGGAAACGCGCGTTAGAATTGACCAATGCATACGCCCACCATCAATGACTCACTATACTTAGTATACAAAGCCGTCCCAAGTAGCACTCGCTGACTAAACAACGCTAATCTATTACAGATACACTGAAAGTCAAAATCATGCAGGTCGATTACACGTGGCAATCGCGTGCTATCACTCACATAAAAGTAATTTTATGCTGCTTCCATAGAACTCATAACTGATTTCACATGACATTCAAAGACATGTATACAGATATAAAAACAGATTCATGCGATGAAACAGTCATATAGAGCTAGTACATAGTACACACGCAAACCACATCAGTACTTCTAAGGTGATTGGCAAATACTTAGCAAACAAGATCGTAGTGCAATTAATTTACTTCGCAACTTTCAAAATGATGTTAGTAGATCTAAAAATATTGCACGGGTGTACATACGAGTATGAGCCAATCGGTTTGTACGCCTACGCAGTGGTAAGGTAGCTCACGATAAAGTAGGTGTACATGCATAAGGGAGCAGGAGATGCCAGACAATAAGAATAACGACACGAGTTCGCGTGGGTATAAAAATGATTGATTTCTATTGCTGCATTCACGCATTTGGCTAAATGCCGAGTGTACACATGCGAAGAACATCCTTCCTTTATACATTCGATAGAGATCGATCGAAAGTCCGTGAAGAAGTTGTCCGATATTTATATCAAGAGGGGAAAGAGGATCAATTGTTTGGCACGGCAGCGAACGCAACTCTTATAGTCATGCTTGCGTGTACACGGCGGTTAATTGTACCAAGGTGTACTCAATATAACTACATAAAATAATAATACAGAAAAGTATGCTGCGCAACTAGAGTATGAATGTGTCAAGTACTGGTATAAAACGAAAACCTTCATGAGTGATTGTACGTGCACTTGAACGCACACTGGCATGGTTCAGTTTTGCCGACACATCGCTATAGAGCAATACAAGTGTCCCAAATAGCACAGAATAGAAGACCACAAACATATATATATATATATATATATATATATGTATGTATATATATATACATACATACCTACATGTATATGTATTTGTACTTGTATATATATAT